CATTCTCACATCAAATATGCAGAAATAATTTTCCTCTTTCAGTATGAAACAGGGGTTTTCTCTAATGTTGTCTTTCCTCTGCAATATAAAAGGCTTTGAGGCAGCTGCTTTTATAACATTGTGCTATAGAAATAAAACTGAGCTGAATTAATTTGAAAAGTATGGAAAACAGACTATTCGAGTTTAGCTGCTTCACCTTGGGGCTTTCAGTCACTCTGAAAAAAAAGTGTAGGTCTAATCAGTGCTTCAGTCAAAAATATACAAGAGCCACTTTATTAGGTACACCTCTTCAAAAGCTCATTAATGCAAATATTTAATCAGCCAATCAGATCACGGTGACTCATTTAGGAATGCAGGCATGGCCAAGATGACCTGATGAACTTCAGACAAAGCATTAGAGCATAAGATAATTTAAGTGACTTAGAATACGGCTGTTACTGGCAGACGGCCTAGTCTCAGTATTTTTGAGAAGTTTGAGTAGTTTTGATGTGCACTGAATGGTGTATGAATGAAGTCTGAATGATAAAGTCTATCTATCTATGCATCTGCAGCAGCTGAAGACCACACCAGGTGTCAGACAAGTACAGGAAACTGAGACCACAATTCACACAGGCTCAACAAAAGTTTGTAGTAGGAAGTTAGAGAAAATGTCACCTGGTTTAATGATTCTCATTTTCTGCAGCAACGTTTGGATTGTAAGATTGTCACACTTTGGCATAAACAACATGACAGCCTCAATCCAACCTGCCTCGTATCAGTGGTTCAGGCTGGTTATGATGTAATGTTGTGTGTTTATTGGCACATTTTGGGCCCTTTAGTACAAATAGTGCACTGAGCCTTGTTGCTGACCATGTCCAGCCCTTTCTGACCACAGCTGCTTTCAGCAGAATAATGAACCATATCACAAACCTCCAGTCACCTCAAACTGGAATCTTGAACATGACTGCATTGTATTCAAATGGCCTCTGCAGTCACCAGAGCATCTTTGAGATGTGGTGAAACAAGGGATTCACATCATGGCTTTGATATACAATCTGCAGCAACTCTGCTTTCATGTCAATATGGATCAAAATCTCTGAGAAATATTTCCAGTGTGTGTGTCCCTATGGCAAAATATTTTCCCGATGACAATCACCAGCTCCACCAGGTATTTGTGCATCTGTCTGTTGCGATCTCATCACAGAAATAATCTTGAGTTATTTTTACATTCTTTGTCAGTCTAACTGTGAAATTTGCAACTAATGGGCTGCTTCTACAGACTTCCATTATACTGTAATCTAGTCACCCACCCAGTACCCAGTCCTACACTTGTACTTCATATATTCCTGTGCTAAAAAATGTTAGGATGTCTCTTCTCTTCAGATTTTAATTCCTTTGAATATTATCTTTGTTTTTGTTTTTTCTTCTTTTTTCATTTTTCTGCTGCACAGTCCAATCCCCCTGCTCCCCGAAACAAGCTAAGTCTTATCTCACATACACACAGACAAACACAAAAACACACTTAAAAAGATTAGCTGTACTTCCTGTTTATGCCCTGAACCCCCAAACACAGAGAGGATCTGTGTTTGGGGGTTCAGAGCAGAAACAGATAATCTGCCTTGAAACATAAATGTCTTCTGTGTAGGTTGCGATGAGCCCCACTGACAGGCACTTTTATTTGATGTACAATTAGAGAAAGCATTTATTTGATTGGATTGTAATCCCCTATTGTGAGAGTAAAGGAGCCACAAGCTATTTTTAGGTCTATTTGAGAATTTGACAGAGCTTTAGACAGAAGGCTGATGGGAAAGAAAAAGGCTGCATTTTGTTTACGGATCCCATTAAAGCTGCTTGTTGACCGAAGCAACTTTACTGTAAATGAATGCTTAGGTTTCCTGTACATGCTTTAATAAATTAATGACAACAAACATGAATACACACACACAGGAACACAAATACTTCCTCTGCACGAGGGATATAATAAATATAGCAACTAAGTTATTGTTTTCTCTTTTGGTTTAAATTCTCTTATATAGTAACAGCACAGCATCACCAGAAAAACAACTGTAAAGGGGTTCAAATGGCCAGTGTTTATGTAGTATGTGGTGTTATTTAGAAATTTAGAGTAAGCGAGAGACACTGTATTGCCTTTGCCAAGTATTTGCTTATCTGCCTTCACATGCATATGAACTTGAGTGACATCACATTCTTAATCCATGGGGTTTAATATGATGTCAGCTCACCCTTTGCAGCTATAACAGCTTCAACTCTTCTGGGAAAGGATTTCCACCAAGTTTAGGAGCGCGTTGAAATTTTTGTCCATTTTTCCAGAATGACATTTGTGAGGTCAGACACCGATGTTGGATAATCATCCATGTCTTTATGGACATTATTTTGTGCACTGGTGTGCAGTCATGTTGGAACAGGAAGGGTCCATCCCCAAACTGGTCCCACAAAGTTGGGAGCATGAAATTGCCAAAAATGTCTTGTTATGCTGAAGCATTAAGAGTTTCTTTTACTGGAACTAAGGTGACTGAGGGCAGCTCGTGAAAAACAAGCCAATGCTGTAATGCCTCCACCATCAAACTTTAGACTTGGCACAATGCAGTCAGACAAATACCATTCTCCTGGCAACTGCCAAATCCAGACTAATCCAATGGATTGCCAGACAGAAAAGTGTGATTCGTCATTTCAGAGAGCACATCTCTGAGAGCGCACCACTGCAACTGACGTTTGGTTTAGATGCAACTGCTCGGCCCACTCCATGAAGCTCTCTACGCACTCTTCTCGAGCTGATCGGAAGGTCACGTGAAGTTTGAAGGTCGCCCTGTGATTTTACGTGGCCTGCCACTTCTTGGCTGAGTTGCGATCGCTCCCAATCGCTTCAACACTAACAGATGACTATAGAATAGTCAGCAGTCTGTAGTGAGCACAAGTTGCACAAGTAGCATCCTACCAGAGTACCGTGCTGGAATGCACTAAGCTCCTGAGAGCGAAGATGAATATTAATATAACCAGGTTAAATTTTGATATGGCTTTAAGCTATACATCAGGTATGGTACTTTGAGTAGCAGGTGGATGCTGACACAGGAGACTGCAGGCCAATCACTTTCTGTCTGCTATGCTTTACCTCAGGCGATATGAGCCACTGAACTAAATCTCTCGACCTTGTTCATTTTGGAGCGCTTTGGAGCCTTGAAAGGAGTAAAATATCTGAGAAAATAATATGATCTGCTGTGCAGTTAACTGTGCCAACAGACCAGGAGGGCTGCACTTCAGTTAGTGAATTTCTGGTATTTTATTTGTAGGCATCTAGCTGGCCCTATGTTATGAGTTAGCTTCTGCTACCTAATATTTGGACTGCAGCTTCTTATCCATTTATGGCTACTTGTTAAATGTTAAATTCAGAGGGCTCATATTTGCTTTTGGGAGTCACTGGCAATCAGCAAATTTTAATGCACACGACTATGGTTTGATATATGAACAAGTAAACAGCTTTTGCTTACTATACTTATTCCTTTTATTATAGTGGCAGCTAAAAGTTTCCCCTTCAGTAGAAGTGATGCAGAGCTAAGTGCATCGTTTTGTGTTTTGTGTTTTGTGTTTTGTGTGTCTCTCCTCTCTGAGTCAGCTGCAGTAATGAAATGACTACCAATAACATCACCATGTACCAGTGACTGACATGTATGCTGAATATAGAATAGACAATTGCCTACTAATTAGGTAACTTTCAGCTTCAAAGCAGTGTGCAAGGAGTGGATCACTTCCAGTGTAGATGCAGCTTCCCCCCCCCCACACACACACGCACACACTCCAGAGACATGAATGCATTCCCAAGGCGTTTCCACCCAAATTTATCAATCACAGCTCAGTAGAATTCAATTTTTATTCATTCATCCAAAAGATTTCAACACTAATGGTCTAAATCTCAAAGTACTGCTTAGGAAGGTAGCTAGATGAGTACACAGTGCTTTTCTTTCTTGTTTTTATTCAGTTTCATGCATGTTTTTACCTTTAATTTATGGTGGAAAAAAACTACTTTAGTCACTCGTGTTGTATGAATGAGCAGTTCTTAGGAAAGCTAAGACCCACAACTTGCACAGCCACTTTGAACAGGAACAATCACACATCCATTTGGTGAGTGTATTCTTCTTGCTGTGCTCTTTTCAAAAAGGAACTTTATTGCTCCTGCATGTGTTTAGGAGACATCTCTACCCAAAACAGTTACACTCTATCCAGACAGAAGCAAATGTAAAATCAGTGCAAAGACACATTAAAGCAGGAGTACCATCAAGAGTGTGCTAATATAACTTTTCACTCATTTAGCAGAAAAACAAACGCATCATTTCTTTTGAAAATTTTACAATAACACTTTTGCTGAAGCCTCTGACTGATTTGCTTCCACAATGTTTTTCCAGCTCTTCCCCAATAAACATAGGAATTTAAATATGGAGACTGCTGGTCTTTCCATCCAGTGTTTCAGGTTATTATCTCGCTATACACTAAACTCCTGGCTAGCCAGTCTTACTCGCTTTGTTATTGCCTGTTTCCTCACCATACACACAACTACTTCCTGCAATGCATTATAATCCTCATTATTGCAGAGAGTGTAGTACAATTTTATCAAATACAACCAGAGGGTTTTTCATTCTCCTGTGGGAATTATTGCGATCGCTTTCAAATTGTTATTATTTGATATTGTTATGAATGCAGTAGGTTTTCTGGAAATAAGGTCTGTTTTCTGAAAATTCAGATGATTTTTAGTTTTTGATGACAGCCTTTATTAAACAGTACAAGGGTAAGCACTTTATCACTTAGCCAATATGCAGTTTAGGGTTAAAGGCTGAACTTCAATAAAACTGGGAAAATATTGGTATGAATAATAATGCTTTACATGGCTAATATAAGCATCATTTTCTCAATTTGATGAAAACAGCAACCTTATGTCTTTGTACTGAGTATACATACAGGGTTCTCTCTGCATGACGTCACACTGGGTCAAGGGGAGGAGACACACTGACCTGCTCCGTGAGACGCCGTGTCCTCAGGAAGAAACCCAAAAGACATCCAATGACCACAGCCATCACTGACATGATGAGGAGCCCGTTCTGCTTGCAAACATTCTTCACCCTCACCCACACTGCATCCAAAGCCATGGCCATTGTGAGTCACCTGTCGTCTGTCCTCTCAGCAATCCATAAATATGGCCCAACCAAAGCTTTAAACTCCAGGTGTAAGAATGAAGGAAAAATATAAAATGAATGAAGAAAAACTATGCAAAATATCCACTCCTCTGTGACGTTTTAAAGCACCTTTGGGCTCAGCATTCCTCTTGTCTTTATGCTGCAGCAATCTGCACTAAGCTAAGAGGATCCTCTCACTTTCCAGGCATGTCCTCCCATCCTGCCCCACCCATCAGCATCCCTGTGTGGGCTGACCCACTGTGAGTGGGTGGGAACAGCTGGCAACCATGTCACAGGGGGTTAAAGATTCCCAATCCTGTTATAGTGCAACTGTATTAAATAGGTCTGAAGCTGGATTAAAAGTCCATGAACAATTTGACAAAGGTTAGCAGAGTAACCTTACGGACCCTCTGAGAAAACAGGGGGATATGTCTCACACACAGTGGTCATAGAACTGCTTTTTGAAAACTTTATGTTGGCTAAATCAGCAAAGCAGAATTCATGATGATCCTGGGATTTGCAACCCAGTATCACCAAGAACAATGCTCATACAGGATTTTGGACAATTTGCTTCCAAACCTTGTCACCATTTTACTATACCCAAATAAGATCTTCCTCAACCTTAAACAAATTCAATGAAGATGTTTTAATTAACAATTTTCACTATTTGGGCATTTGTGCCATTTGTGTCAGTAAATGAACTACACTAATCTCTCATATCATCTAACAATGTTATTTCAGTTCCCTGAGGTTTGTGGGCATCCATTTATATACCACTCTCTTAAGGTCTTAAGCATCTCAGTCAGGTTTAGGTCTGGACGTCTGACTGGTCCATTGGAACATCTTGATTCTTCAGTCATTCTGTTCTGCTGTGCTTTGGATTATTGTCCTGTTTCATGACCCAGCTTTGGCCTAGTTTTAGCAGACCGACAGATGGCCTCATATTCGACTCTAGAATACTTTTGTAAACAGTGGAGTTTATGGTTCAACTCAGCGACTGCCCAAATCATCAGCCCTCCAACACCCTACTTGGCAGCTGGTAGGACATATGGTAAATGGAGTGATTCTTATATAGCGCTTTTCTACTCTCCTGGAGTACTCAAAGTGCTCTATACAACATGCCTCATTCACCCATTCACACCCACTTCTATACACAAGTGCAAACTAACCTGCATTCACACTCCGATGAACGCATCGGAGGACAATTTGGGTTAGTATCTTGCCCAAGGATACTTGACATGCAGACTGGGGAAGCCAAGGATCGAACCACTGACCTTGCGATCAGTAGCTGATCTGCTCTACCACCTCAGCCACAGCCACCCAATCTCATCTGTCCTGATGTCTTCTGGTTTCTTCAGATACAGCTTTGCCACTCTTAGCCATGCTGCCACGTTCCTTTTTAGAGAGAATAGGCTTTCTCCTGGCAACCTTTCCAAACATACCACATCATACGTATTCAGTTTCCTCTTAACTGTATGTTACTTCTAAGATGCTAAATGAGGCCTGTAGAGTTGAGACATATTTGTCTTGAATGTTTTCCACTTATTAATAATCATTCTCACTGGAGAATCGTGGACTAAATTGTTTGGAAATGATCTTATAGGCCTTCACAGACTGATGGGCTGCAGCACTTGCTTCTTAAAATCACTACTGATCTCTTTTCTCCTTGGCATTGTTTTAATGCACACCTGAATGCTGGAGCTCAGAAAACTGCCAAAACATCTGCTTTTATAGAGGTTTCACACTTTAGATGCCGATGAGCATTTAATCAAGTGCATTTGATTATCAGCTCTTGTCGCTAGTTACTTAATTTCCTGAGAGCAGAAGGGGTGTAATTAGTTTTTCACGCACTGCTTTTAGCTTAGTTTTTGTTAAATAAATAATTATATCATGTGATAAGTCATGTTTTGTAGCTTATCTGAGGTTATATTTGAAGGAAACGGTTTCCAAGGCCTAATCCGTGGATCGACTTCCTTCGAGGCATGGACGTCTATCAGCAGAGAATGTCCCTTAGTCTGTAACACAGTCAAATATATTCTCAAGCAATATTCAAGCATGCCATTCAGCGTGTTAGTACGAGCTCGGGAGCAGCTTGGGAGAACAAGAAAACAGAGACTGCTTTAGATTGTCTTCCCAAATTGACTCAACTTTATTCACAAGTACAACAGTTTATATAGAGGGTAAAATTCATGAGACAGCAGATTATCAGTTTAAACCAGTACAGACCAAGATAAGGGAGCGTCTTCCTGCCCTTGGGTGAAGAAGCATCCTTTGTGTAGTTTATTAGTTCAGCTACAATTGTGATTATCTCAGCGACATATTTTCAAGGCACAAAACAAAGCGTTCTTTCATTAGTGAAATCTGAAACAAACCATTTGGCCTTCAACAGGCGTCTAAAAGATTAAGAAACTAATGTAGCTGAGGGAGTGATCTCTGTGGTATTTCAACCTTGTACCAGCCTGTGATTCTCACACATCAATTCTTGGGTCAAAGAGAAAAATAACTAAAACAAAGGGGCCTTATTGAATGACAGAGTTTTCCTGCATAATGTCACTATAAAACAATATCCAGTAAATGCTACCATGGTACTAAAATACCTAACAGTTCCCCTCTTTTATTATTTTTAAAAATAATAACTCAAATAGAAAGGAAAAATCACAAATGTAATAACATAATATAAAAAGCAAATCATAAAATGTAATAGTTCACAACCTAATGTTCAATATACACATCAGGAACATCATTGGTAACATCTGGCACATCCTCAGGATCAATTTGTGCTAATTGCAAATACATTGAAGTAGCTGTACTAGTAGCTATATGGGTTATCATTGAAAATGTGGCTTGCAGAAATTTGAACAGGGTTGCACTTTACAATACGAAATAGTAAATAAAAATCCTAAGGTTAATGCAGTAGATATGATTAATAACCTAAATATATAAAAAAGACAGTTCTTTAGTCGTCTTCTGGCCTGGTCCCAGGTTCGAGAGACACCGTATAAGCGTCGTGTGATGACAATGGGCATTTCATTTTCTCCATTATCAGGATGAAACGAGTCTATCTTTATCAGGTTAGACATTGTGTGGTACTCTAGGCTTTCTGTTCCTGCTGGATGTTCGAGTACCTTGTTGTTGTTCTTTCAGGCGTTGTGTGTTAATCAGTGATTGTGTGTGTGTAGGTGGATTGGATCCGGGCGTTGGCTCGCCTGAGTCGTCATCTACTTGATCCGACGCCTTAGGTGGTTTGGTGGGGCTGGTCTTAACCCTGCTGGCATGAATCCACTGAGGTTGTCCATCTGTTAGGATGCTGGTTCTCGTCACTGCAAGTACAGTCTGGGGGCTGGAACACGCGGCCTCCCCGAGTGCCCTTGGTTTTAGCGACTTTACCAACACCGCATCTCCTGGTTTCCACGGATGGGTTGGATCTATGGAAGGGAGAGGCTGAGAGAGACAAACTTTCTGATAGTTATTATTCAGTGTTTCTACCAGGTTATGAACATAGTCAGACAATGCAGTGTCTATGTCCCCTTCCAATAGCGGTGCCCCTCTGGAGGCTGACCATGGTGTTGGAAACGGTCTTCCCATGATTATTTCAAATGGAGATAATTTGGTTGCAGCGGATGGAGTCATTCTAATCTCGCAGAGGATTTGAGGAAGTAGTTTGATCCAGGTCATTCCTGTTTCTATCATTGCTTTAGTCAGGCGATTTTTTATGGTCCTATTCATTCTTTCTACAACTCCTGAACTCTGAGGGTGGTATGGCACATGATATTTCCAGTCTATTGCTAGAGTTTTAGCACACTTTTGAATTACTTCTGATGTGAATGAAGGTCCTCTATCACTGTTAATTTGGTGAGGTATTCCAAATCTGGGTATTATTTCATTGCATTCTATCATATATTTTTTACAGGACTTTTTAATCAGCCTACTTTCCTTATCACAAATAGTATTTAACATTTCTACTGACCTGTTTTCTGGCGATAATCGTTCGGGATAGGGCTCCGGAAATACATTAGGATGCATTAAAGTTATAGTTCTTAAGTTCGAGACGAAATCAGTCACGTAAGCACTTCCGCATGTTCTAGATACGTAATCATGGAAGTCTTCATTGATTCGCGAGCGTGGGTTAAACGTAACCGGAAGTGGGAGTCGTACTGAGCCGCTATTTGTGATTTTATATTTTATTTTTTTCGGTTTTACAGTTAATTTTGAGTTTTTATCGGACCCGTCTAAGGTCTTTGAATTATTCTGACCCATGGTCAGTGATTTCCAGAGGGGTTTAGGCGCTTGAAGGTTTTAAGTTAGTTTTTATTTTTGCTGTGGCACACCTGAGGTTACTTGATTTTTTTGCTAGCAATTTTATCTTTTTAGTGAGCAACTTCTCACTTTTTAACGAGCAACTTCTCGTTTTATGACCCCAGGCAACTTCCTGTGTCCTTTCTGCTGGTGAGCAACTTCTTAGTTTATGACAGCAGGCAACTTCCTGTGTTTCTATGTGGGCCACTAACGAAGGCTCCTCAGCGTATCCCACTTGTTACTATGTGGGCCACTGAAGAAGGCCTCGTCAGCGTATCCCATTTCTATGTGGATCACTGAGAAAGGCATAACACAGTCTTATAAAATAAAAGACGAGTGCCTACCTTCGTCAGGATCCCACTTCTGACACCAAAATTGAAGGAAACGGTTTCCAGGGCCTACTCCGTGGATCGACTTCCTCCGAGGCGTGGACGTCTATCAGCAGAGAATGTCCCTTAGTCTGTAACACAGTCAAATACATTCTCAAGCAACATTCAAGCATGCCATTCAGCGTGTTAGTACGAGCTCGGGAGCAGCTTGGGAGAACAAGAAAACAGAGACTGCTTTAGATTGTCTTCCCAAATTGACTCAACTTTATTCACAAGTACAACAGTTTATATAGAGGGTAAAATTCAAGAGACAGCAGATTATCAGTTTAAACCAGTACAGACCAAGATAAGGGAGCGTCTTCCTGCCCTTGGGTGAAGAAGCATCCTTTGTGTAGTTTATTAGTTCAGCTACAATTGTGATTATCTCAGCGACATATTTTCAAGGCACAAAACAAAGAGTTCTTTCATTAGTGAAATCTGAAACAAACCATTTGGCCTTCAAGAAACTAATG